CTCTACAATTTCCCTGGCACACGTAACACCTGCAGGGATGAGAGAGCATCACGGAACTCACTGCCTTGTTGGAGAATTCCACGGGTGGTGTCGTGGGGAGAAGGTCCAGGCTGGAGGGCAGGAGACCCGGGTTTAGGCCCCCGGACCCTCTGACTGGCCCGGGATGGAACCTGCTTCCCCATCTGTGCCAGGAGGATAAAAATGTAAATCTCTGAGGCCTAATAGCACCTGGGACTGAATGAGCGTCTTTGTTGGTCGTGGAGGCGGACGTCCCAGGCGGAGGGGGCTGGGTCATGAGTTGCCCCAAGGGTCTGACACAGGCCCTGATGGTGACACAGCCAGAGAAGCAGCGGGCAGAGGGCGCGAGGCCAGGCGTGACTCACTGCCCCAGCCGGCCCCTGGGGTTCACCCCGCGCATTTGTCACCCACAAGGCAGGTGGGTCTGGGCAGTTGTCCCCCGATACAGGGTCGGAGACACAAGATGCAGCCACACCCTGAGGGCCAGACTTGACCAGGGAGCCAGAGGGGTCAGCCACCCAGTGCAGCCCCCGGGGGCCACTGGAACTCAGCCCAGCGGACATGTGACCACAGAGCGCTGCCCCAGGAAACCAGCCCCACTTGAACTCACGCCTCCCCTGCAGGCCAGGACAGTGGCCAAGCCGGTCAGGCCTTGGGGCTCAGGCAGCAGGAGAAAGTCCCAGTGCTGGGCAACAGCCTGGAGCCATAAGGCCGATCAAGACCTCAAGGGGTGAGAGCGCTCAGGGCCGAGGGTTCCTGGTGCCTTTCCAGTGACGGCATGGAAGGACAGGCCATGGCTCCCCGGTGCACTCACCGCTGCTCCTAACAGAGGGCTGGGCTGGCCCGGGGGGTGGCAGTGACCACGTCGCTGTGGTGTGTCAGGCACCATCCTCAGCACCCAGGACCTAGTGGCTCACAAAACCCTCTCAAGGTGCCGTTACCATCCTCATTTCAAAGAGGAGGAAAACGAGGCACAGAGAGGCTAGGACACCTGTCCAGGTTCACACGGCGGATGGAGCTGGAAGCTGCTCCGAGCTTGCCCCGCCTGGTGCAGCCTCTCCCAGGGAACAGCTGAGCTGGACAACAGAGGAGCCGGGGTCTGGGATGTGGGGGAAGGCTCTCCTGCCCAGAGTCCCTACAGCATGTGGCTATCACAGTTAATCCTAGTGGAGTTCAGGTCTCTCCACCCCCATTTCACAGCCTAAGGGATTTTAAGGCACTTAGCTCAAGGTCACTTTTCATATATATATATGTATACACACACACACACACACACACACACATACATATATATGTATTATTGATTTCAGAGAGGAAAGGAGAGGGAGAGAGAGAGAGAAACATCAATGATGAGAGAGAATCATTGATCGGTGCCTCCTGCACGCCCCACACTGGGCTCACGCTCACAACCCGGGCATGTGCCCTGACTGGGAATCGAACCGTGACCTCCTGGTTCATAGGTCAACACTCCACCACTGAGCCACACCGGCCAGGCTCAAGGTCACTTTTCAAGCGTTTGAACTTAGTTCTAACTCAACCACCCCCACAGCTCCAAAGACAAAGCCTTCAGCTAAGTAAGTCCTCTCTGTGCTGATTTATCACCCAAATTCCAGCACCAACCCTGCCCGGGCGGCACTGGCGTCCCTGTGTGCAGGTAAGGACAGGACGGCCCAGGAGGCTGGGAGGGTGGGCAGCAGTCCGTGAGCCCCGCTTACCCCCGGGGGCCTAGAGCGGTAAGGCCAGCGCTTCCCGGGGAGGACAGGAGGGGAGGAACCGAGAGAAGGCCGAGGACGGCTAAGTGGCCCTGAGCCTGGGGAGCCGCACGGAGCCATTAGCTGCAGAACTGCAGCCTTTCAGGGACTGGAGCTGGGCTGGCTTCCGGGCAGTGAGGTCCCCACCCCATGGCCGGCTCCCTCTAATGCAGAGGCCGCCCCGCTCTGCCGGCTCCTCCAGGGGTCGGCTTTGATCTCTGCCTGGAGCTGCCAAACTCACCACAAACCGCCGGAGCCGTATCAGCCCAGGAACAGGTGCCCACCCACAGGCCTCCCCACCCAAGCTCAAGTCAGGCTCGGGGGCCGAGGGGGGCTTCCCGAAGCCCAGGTGGCCCCAGCTCTCCTAGGTGGGAGGCCAGGGAAAGTCCCTGAGTTATTATAAGATTCCCAGGCCTTCGTGCGCCCATCTGGCCATGGGGAGACCACGGTAAGGCCGGCATCTACTCGGGCCACAGCAAGCCCATCGTCCTCACAACAGCTCCCAGGCAGATGCTTTCCAGGTGAGGAAACGGAGGCAGGCGCCCAAGTGCACACACCCAGAGAGAAACAAAGCCAGGCTCTCCCCAGGCAAGCGGCCTCGCACTCTCTGCGGGTCCTGGAGGACGTGGGCAGCAGCAGGGATGGGGTTCGAGACAAGGGCACCCAGCACAGACCTGGCCTGGCCCAGGAGCCCCCTCCCCTCCGAGGGGCCAGGAGAGCTCAGTGGACAAGAGCCCAGACTCTAGAGCCACCAACACGAGAGGCCACCCACAGGTGAGCCTCCTGCGCCTCAGTGTCCTCGTCTCTGGGTGGCTCCGCACCAACACCCGCATCGTAGGAAGAAAGGTGCGGGCGGAGCACTGAGCCCAGGGGACCAGGCTCTGAGAGCCAGAGGGATGCCAGGGCAGGCTGGGACCGAGCAGGGGTCAGAAACTATGTGCCACGCTCCTCCCCGACCCGGGGTTCCTCTGCCCAGCTGCGCAGGCCTGACCCCAGAATCCAAAGGGCTCCCCAGAACCTCAGGGGCTGCCGATGGGGCATGAGACGGATGGGGGAGGGCAGCACTGCAGAGGCAGAGCCAGCCAGAACCCGCTCCACCCACCCCACCCACCCCACCCACCCTGTGTGAGAGGCCCCTTTGTGCCAACCCTGCTCCCCGCCCCTCCGCCCCTGCCATCTGCCTGTCCCCAGGGGTCCCAGTCCCCCAGCTGCCAGGTTTGCTCACGTGATGCCCCCATCTGCCGTGAGTCAGAAGGAGGGGTCCACAGAGCCCCTCGTTGGCTCTGGGGGTGCAGAGCCTGCTAAGCTCTGGAGGGGTGGGGTGGTATTAGATCTGGGGCTCTATTGTCACCTTCCCCTCACGCCCCCACCCGCTCTGCCCCTGACTCTTCGCCCGTGCCATGTGGGAGCCCACCCACACCCCTGAAACGGGCACAGCTCCCACCACCCACACACTGTCCCCCAAGCACGCACCGTGAGCCCCACACCACACACCCTCCCCTCCCCGTTCTGCTGGGCCACAGCCGGCCCTGTGTGCAGAGCTGCGCAAGTCCCCCCACCATCCCCTCCCCCGCAGGGCAGAGCAGAGCTGCCCACCTGGCGCCCAGCCACCAGGACATGCCCCGTGCCAGGTCTCCAGTGCCATGGCCTGCCCCATTCCCCCAGGCCCTCACTATTTCCACACCTTTCCCCATGCAGTTTCCTCTGCCAGGAATCCGCCCCCCCCCCCACGCGCACTTAAACCCTCTCTCCCTCCTTACCAGTCCCAAAGCCCAGCCCCGCATCCTCCATCCTCGTCCTCCCAGGCAGCAGCTCCCTCCACCCCCTCCAGTTTATCTCACTTCTCAGCCTCAGAGCCCAACAGGCCTGTTCGTTTGTGTCCCTGACAAGATGTGGGTGTCCCAGCCAGGCGACTGGCCCCTGCCCCTGGGTGGGCCTCTCCCCCACAGACCCTGCCTGGGGGGGTGTCCCCCATGACCTGACACCTCGGAGCCACGGAGCCACGGGTGCAGGGCAGCTATTGTCACCTCATACGCCCATTTAGCAGCTGCAGCAACTGAGCCCCAGAGAGATACCTCAGAGTCCTTGCAGCTAACGAGGTCAGGTCACCCCCAGGAGCCAGTCCCACCTCTGCCAGCCTCAGCTCTGCGTGCGACCCAGCTCAGCAGCCAGCAGCGGCTCTCACAGACGGATGGATGACACTTCCCACTCAGGCTCCACCTCAAGGAACCAACCCTCTGCCCTCAGGGTCCCCACAGGCCCCTGGGGCTGGCCCATGACTGTAAGACACCTATTCATCCCATTCACTGCCATGTCCCCCACCCCCAGCAGAGTACCCGGCACACAGTAGGTGCTCAACAAATGTTTGTATGTGTACCTCTCTTGGCCCTCTGGAGCACAGACTATTGCTCCCCACCCGCTGCCCCAG